CGATGATGCTGGGCGGAATTAGCAAAAATTTGCATCACATTTTTTGTTTTTGCGAGTTTCTGACTCTTTCATGGTATATCTCGGTATTTTTTATTTTTTTTAAATGCTCACTCTTGCTGCTAGCAAGCGTTTACGTCAATAAAATACGTTTAAGATTGTTTCAATAAAAAGGTTTGTTTTAATTAATTATAATATGCAAAATCATTTGCATTTAGCTTAATAGTATAACTGACATGTTTCATAACATTATTCATGTTTATTCATCTCAATAGCAACATGCTATATTGATTATAAATGTATATTTAGCTCCATAGAGACATGTTTTATTAATTATTACTGTATCTATTGCTTGGTAACAACATGGGGAATTATTGCGTTATAACGTTATAATTGTTAGTAAGAATGGAACGCACTGATAACAGGGGTCCCCTCTCAATCCCTCTACACAGTGATCCATAGCGCTTGTAACAGTGTAGAATATTATATAATTTGCGGCCAACTGAAACGTTACAGCTGTTTCAGCTATGCTACGCTATGGCGGCATATGAAAAATTCATATCATACGGGAAATTAAAACCGCTGTAGTGGATCAATCAGTGCAACGCTAAGCACTAGTGCCAAGTATAAAGTCACCGACCTCTTCTGCATGACCACTACAGCTGAGTGCTTAATTAGGCCTATTCACCTATGTCAACAATAGGTATGGCTTAATTAACCAATTCCTATAATTAATTCATACATCAACATACTTTTAGCTATATAGAGTGTATAGAGATGTAGTGCCTGCAGCGTGTCCTAGTTCCGCCCCAGGGTCTCCGCCTAGTAGAATGTGGTCAGAACAGCTCCCTTCAAAGATAGTCTGGTTGTATCCTTATAAGATGTCTAAACCATTTCAGCTGACTCTTCTCAATCCAAATGAGCAGTGGCTCCATTTCAGAATCCGCCTCCATCTCGAAGGCTGCGCACCCTGTCACAGACAGTGAGCAGAGAATCCCCATTCTGTCTGCTCATACCCATAACCCTCTTCTTTCAGTCATTATCCATAGTTCACGACTATGAACATGGGATGAAATGAAGACAGACCAATAATCCGTATGCGCCAAGTTATCTCCCAATTCTCCACCACAAGCCTGTGGCCACCAAACTGATATGCCTGTGAATCTCACATTCCCTTTTCCTGTCACGTAAACAAGATCCCAAGGTATCCAAACTCCTTCACTAATGGCAGATTCTCCTCTCTCATCCGAAAGCAGACATTTGCTCTATTTGCTCTAAATAATTGCCTCATATTTGCCTGTGCGGATTCTCCCCCATGTTGCTTCACTGTTCTCTAAATACATATTTTTTTTGCTGAGGTGTTGGACTTGATTTTTCTGTGGTATCAAGGGCATCAGCGCACTGGCTCTAGCAGTTGGCACTAAAATTTGCAGCCAATTTGCCAAGCAGAGGCATCAAAGGCATTATGTCAATTTTGGACTCTTCCAGACTCTTAATATAGACATTCATCCTGGCGTACATAAACTTTTGACCCACTGATAATATGAAATTGTAAATAAAAGCTGAAACATATCTGTGTCTTAGCTATTATTTTGCCATAGCCGGATTGACTTCACACAGGAAACACGACGTGTAAAGTTGTGGAACACTGAGTTTGAAAGACTTTAGCCTAGTTGTAAACTTTTGGCTTCAACTGTAGGTCACAGCTGGATTGCAGGCAAAGAACTGCACGATGTGCAGGTAGCAGAGATTTCACTTCTTGCCCCCCGTACTGGACACCCTTCCAGCCAAGCCAGCACAGGAAGTTCCCTTACTGGCGGATAATACTCACTCTAAACAATTTCAACTCCGCGCTAAGTTCATGGACACAACTCTTTCAGTATTCACACAGGAACTGAAGAGCATGCAGCAGCAGTCTGGGATCCTCTGATTCCCTTGGTATTTCCCGCAGCATGTACTGTACCTCGGCACACCTTCTACCAAGTCCATAAGTCAAAAGTAAACTATGTTAGTATACTCCCAAAAACCCATACATCTGCATGAGAGAAGAGCTAGTCTACTGTTCCACTGGCACGACAGAATCCACATTGTTTCTCCTGAATCCTAGGTTTGATTATCGTGTTGAGTCCCCTTCCCTTTCCAACGGAAGCTGAGAAGAGCGATGCCCTATGGTCGGAACAAACCGTCTGGTGTCAAGATTTCAGAATTCGGCTAAGCACCACCGTTTGCAAGTCCAAACGGTATTTTACCTGCCTTTCATACATCACTGAAGGGGCATGTCAACCATATCACCCCGACGTCATTCAGAGGTCGGAATGTCAAAATATATCAGATCCACGGTGTGAAGATGAGAATAGTAGAAGCCAAAAGGAGCACATGTGGAAATCAGATACCTGGACCTACAGCTTGAACCTCAGGTCTGTTACTATCTGCTTGATGCTGATAGGTGTGGACCTGGCATTTGACTGTAACACGTGGAATGTAGATAGGGTCAACCCACACAATAAACCTCTAAACAGGGTTGGGGGGGGGGGGGGTGAAATGTCGTGGGGACCATCCTCCCAGTTTGGTGAGATTTACGGTTGATTTACACTTGTGTAGTATCTATGCCATAAGTAGCCTCATACCCTTGTGCCGTAGCCTGACGCGCAACTCCGCAGAAATGTAACTACAGTCATCAAGCTACGGCATAGGGTATGCGGCTACGCAGCCACCTATGGCCTACATTCTACGCAGGAGCATAAATCAGCCTTAAGTGGGCATGATGTGAAAACCTCATTCCTATCTACTCAGCCAGGAGCGCTTCGATAGCGCCTTCACGCTTCCTGCCCTTTCTACACTCGTGCACGATCTTCCTTTCTTGAGAACGCTGAACTCATCCGACCTGGCTCCAAAATAAGGCTGGTAATGACATTCTAATGAAGTTCCGCGGAAAGACTGTAGGCACATACAGTACCACGTAAATACAGGCACTTGCGAGTTAAGATGGGCTGAGATAAGCTACAGAATTTATAAAGATGTCTATGACCTACTATCATATGCCTTTTCTTAGGGACAGGCATATAGAAACCAGACAGAGGATCACAAGGAAGGAACAGACTGTGACTTTCCATGGAACAAGGTTTCTTATCTTAAAGGCGGAAGTGTGCAAGAAATAGTAGAGACTGTGACTAAGCTTAAAAGTGCAACTGTGGAGTATGCAATGTACTAGTGATATTAATTTCATTATTTTAATGGGTCCATTTTTTGCGGACATTTCAGATCTGTCATTTGGAAAATAAGTATCTTCTAAGCATCCAGTCACAACTTGCTCTGATAATATAATAAAGACCTCCATCTGCTGTACACTGCAGAATGAATTTCATCAAGACAGAGGTCGGTCACACCAGCAAACAGGCCTAGTTACCAAGACAAGAGAGAAACTCAATGAGACAGAAGAAATCAATAACGATGTCTGCAAAATCACGTCTCACGACAAGATGCCCCAGGCTACGGCAAAGACCCAATTTATGATACAAAATGTACGTTTTGTACAAAGCGGACCAAATCTAAGGAGCCCAAATTTTCTAAATGGTTTAGACAAAACCTCTGGAAATCGGATACATGAATGAAGACAAAAATGTAATCATTATAAATTCAAAATATTAATTCATTTGGAAGAGGTGTACCAAAAGACATGACACTTTTCTGGAAAGAGTCAACAACAGCAAAACACTGGCTTTGCAGGAATGGCTTGCAGGCATGACACGACCAACACGTGCTAGGTTTCCTCAGTCTGAGAGATCATTAATCCTTCTGAGTGCTGCAATTTCACACATCCTCTGGGACAAGCCCACACTCATTAACACTGCTACGAAATCTATCATCTTTTAAAATATCTGTTATGATACCACTGACAACAGGGTTGGGTGAAGGGATGCAGACATGAAGCAGCCAATGTCTGCAAAATAAAGCGTGCTTGCAGGTTACACCGAAGCTGAAATCAGAGAGAAAGTGCACATTTGCTATTCCATCCCTACTAAGGAGCAGCTCAAACCCAGTAACAGAATTTGTAACATTGATTTACAAAACAGTACCAAAATAACCAGTAATATGATTTTACACTACATAAAGTTCTCAATGACACAATAAAAACAGATGGTTTATCAATTAACTGAATTAACTCCAACAACCCCGAATATTTAAAGAAAAATAAATGACGATGTAAACATCGAGCAGCAGTAAATGTTATTTATAATAATGGCGCGGTATTAAATATTTGTCTAACAGCAGATCTTTCTCATACACCAAGTAATAATAATAATAATAATAATAATAATAATAATAATATTCTAAGCTTCAGGCACCAAAAATGTCTGTATCTAAATCACCTAAATAAGAAGATTTAAAATACGATATAATTACATCCAACTTGTCTCTTGTGCTTAAATCATACTATAATCTACCTTGGCATCCAACAGAAAACAGTGTTCATTTAGCTGACTGGCATTAATAATTTAAACGATAGTGCTCAATCAATTCAATTTAATACGGTTGATTATTTTGCATGTCAACACTTTTTCCCCTGATAAGCGATTACCTAGTGGATCAAATCTGCTATATTTTGTATAACACAGCTTTCACAGATAGCAAGGGATAATAATAATAATAATAATAATAATAATAATAATAATAATAATAATAATAATAATAATAAAATTGAGAAGAATAAGTAAATCCTCCATATCTAACTGTACTTATAATAAACGGTCTTTGTGAATGAATGAAAACATGAAAACGGCCGTGTCCATGCAATCAGAACATCCCGGGGTCAGTAATTGTTATTTTTTAGCGCATATAAGCATCTCTATCACCAGAAACCACGTAGTCTCTGCTGATAATGCTTTCAGCCGCGTTATTTAAGCAACGCTCCATGTTTCCTGCCTGCTGTTTTCTACAGATCCATGACCAAAAAAAAAAAATCAGTGACAAAGGCTCTGATATTTACGCCGTTGCTTTCTTACCTGGACATAATTATTTTCACAGTAATCGGCTACCCTGGTTAGGTTCTGGTAGCTCTCTAGCAATGCTCTTTTACCGGCTGGGATTTCTTCCTCTAACAGCATTTGCAGCTCTGCCATCTTACATCTCTCCGCATTTCTCTTTTTCCTCCTCCTTCCCTTTGACTGAAACCACAGGCTCTGCCCCGAAAGCGGAGATTCCTCGCCTGGTATTGTAGGAACCCCGGCCTCGCTTTCGCTACACTTGCGGCTCTCCGCTTGGTGTCGACGCGCGTGCCGTTTCTCATCTCGCGTAAGCGCACTCTCCGATGATTGGCCAGGCGGAGCGTGAGAACCAGGCGGACCTATCATAAGCGAGTGAGCGTCTTCCGCGAAGAGAAACACAACGAGTATAGAGGAAGCGAAGTGCATGCTGGGACAAACAGTTTTGCGAAGTAAATACGGAGTATTTTCATACAACCATTCCCTTAAATAAATGTCATATAAGAGGAATTTATAATAATTAAACATTTTTATATATGAAAACCTTCATGTAGTGCTAAAATGTAATATCAAGTAGTTTTTCTGCCTTAAGAGAACCCCTAACCTGAAACAGCAATATTTACTACAACACCCATACTCATTTGCGCTCAGCGTAAAGGCTCTTATTCCAACATTACTCCGAAATCATGAAGTGTTTGGCGCTATGAAAACTACAAATCCCTTAGACACCAAGAAAAGCCCAAATCTGGGATTGAAATGTCTTAAAGGGTTCGTTTTATTACAGGAGATTATAAATTTTGAGATGTGAATGTTTGTAGGACTTTTTTTCATATCCTTGCGTTTTTACTTTGCTCTGTCAGATGTGACAGGAGTTACTCGTTCAGTATTGTTTACTATTTTTAGGATCCATCCATATGTCTATGGTTCAGTTTAATGTACGATAATACTCTACTATTTCATGGCATGTTTCAATTTCATAGAAATTCTTACAGTGTCATTTTTAAATGCATTTTGTTTTGAACAGTATCGGTAATGTACATTTAATTGCCCATAACACGTTGTTATTCTGATATGTATTCTAAAGAGGCTAGGAGGAGTTTCTGTCGATATTATCCACGATGGAGGATGGAAAATCAGTTCATGAGGTCAGGTTTGAAGCTGCGGTAAAAGTAATTCAGAGTTTACCTACTGATGGTAACGAGGTTAATGTAACTTCAGTTGATGTACATTTTGCCCATAAATCGAAAGAAACTGGCTACATAATTAGATTGAATGGTGCATTGTCCACATTTTAATTCATGCAGTCACTGTTTCGTTGGCCTTCTGCCATTAGATGTTGTTAAAATATGATGTATAAATTATGTTTTGTAATATTGATTTAGGATGTTCAATTGCTTTCGAAAGTAGATTAATATGCATAATACAATTTTGTTTCACTAATGCCATTTGGGATCCTTTCAGCTGTCTGATGATATAAAGCTCAGGTTTTACAGGTATTATAAGCAAACAAAGGGACCTTGCAGTATTCTCTGACCTTGGTCCTGGAATCCACTTAGGAAGTCCAAATGGTAAGACAAAACCTTCATGCCAAATTGCATAATTATTTTTTTAGCTTAATAAATCATTCCATAGATGTGTACTGCTGCCGTGTGTACTGTGCGGGGTTGCCACATCTCACACATCTGGCGTGACGCTCACACTTTCTGACTTTCACGCCCACGCAAGAAATCTTACGGCAGATCTGTACTATTCCATTATAAACGTAAAATTAGCTACTTCAAAAGTGTTGGGGTAGTTTGCAAACCCTACAGACTATTTATAAGGTAATAAAACAGTCACATACATGAAAATGAGCACGCAAACTTAAAATCTCACACCAGCCAGCTGACCAAAGTTAGCAGCCCCAACTGTGCATTTGTAATGTGCAAGAGGAATATTTGTAATGATTAAAATGTATTTAAAAAAAAAAAACGTGAATTTAACTGTCTGTGAACCTATCTGAGATTTTGAATTTAACATGACAGGTCTCAATATTCTCCTTGGTTTGTAGGGAAGCCTGGAAATCTCTTGGAAATATGCCAAACGAGAAAGCGATGATTGCATACGTGGAGGAGCTCAAGAAATTGTGCGTTGCATTTCCATTTCATTATATAGTATCATGCGCATTGCAGTTGCTTTGTTTCTGAAGATAAATTTGTAGCAAATGTTTTAGATTTTGGAAATGATTCCAATGACGGATGGAGTAGAAGAGCTGATGGATGTCCTGGAACCGTTCTACGAGATGGAAGAAGATGCAGACCATTCAGTGGAGGAAAATAAGAGAAACATACAGATATCGGGTGTAACAACAGGTGCTGAGCGCATGTTGTTGTTTTTTTTAATTCAGCATGTGCATGTACTCACGTGAGTCCTGCATGTACTCACGTGAGTCCTGCATGTACTCACGTGAGTCCTGTAACCATGTGCTGTGACATGCTTTACAGAGGAAAACTGATACTTTATCGATCCCTATAGGGAAATTCTCTGTACACCTCCCCTAACTTGCTCTCAGTAGGTGAGAGCAATCTGGCCGCAAAGAGCAGGCACCAGCTGTGGGCTGGGTGTTAAGGGCCTTTCTCAGGCACCTGCCGACATGCATGCGGTGGCTGGGCCTAAACCAGCAATCGCTGGCATAGCGGATCAGCGCACTGAGCCACGTGTTGGACCTGTTTCCTGCCTGACACACCAGTGAACTTTGGCATTCTTAGCGAAAGACAAAAACAAAACTTGTCACCTTAATAAAGATTGTGGTGTCCAGACCTATACCTGATAATGTTCCAATCGAGGCAAAGCCTTAAAATGATGAACAGAGAGTATATAAAAATTATGATAAAAAGTATGGTATGATAAGGGAGACATAGCCAGCTGCAATGTAACATTGAAGTTCTCTGTATTATCTGTTGTTCATTTCCTTTCATGCATATGTGTCATTGTTTAATTTTCATTCGCTCCAATAGTTGATGCGGTAGACATACTGTGTTCATTACACCATGCAACATGGATTTTATGGAAAATAAGCATCCTGTGTTCCGGCTTTGGGAGCAGAGAGGGATAAAAGTCAGGAAGAGAGGAGGAGGGCACCAACGGAGGACAGAAGAAGTGGAGGAACAGTGGGAAGAATTAACTGGAGAGAGGCACTACTGCTCCACTGCCCCCTTCTGTTGTAATTGCTGAAAAGAGGGATGGTTGTTATGAATGGGAGGGAAACTGTTTGTTTTTGGTTGTTTACCATGCAGTGGCAGATCTGCGTTATTTTATTCCTCGTTATCAATCGGACAGGGCACTGATTTCGGGGGCATGGTGTTCCAGCTGTCTGCCACGCTTTTGCTAGAGTCCTGTTACTTTCATCTTCAAGTTCAGCTTGCTTGTCCTTCTCCGTTTTTTTTTTTTTGTCGGGAAGCCATTTACGTGACGAAAGTGCCGAGACTCGGAGCCTTGTCCTCTGCGACCAACAGCGGGGCCTCTGTAGGAGAATTAGTCCAGATCGCTCAGCGGTCGGCGAAGGAGCTCCATGACATCAGCAGCTGTTGCCTTGGTAAAACAATGGTTTCCATCAGCTATAACCCAGCCAGACACTGCCTCATTTGTTATGAGCAGGGAGTGGTACAGTTTTGGAATAACACTACTGTGACTTCTCTGTGATGTCAGGAAGTTGCCCAATGAGTAAATATTTATCGTTTTCAGTTACAGTAGAAAATGTTGTGTTTCTATGTACTCATCAGTATCAGCAGATACATGTATATGATTTTCTTCCTTCTGTGACATTTCGCAGTCTTTTTATCAGACATGATTCTATCAGTGCAGACTGAGGTTCTTGATTCTGATTCTGAATCCACATTTTTGCTGCTATAGTTCATTGATTTATTGATAGCTTTGGACCTTTAGTTCTCTTTAACTCATCAGATAAAGAAGGCCTCTGCTGGCTATGATGGGAGGGGAAGCCTCTCACTGGCCACAGAATAAACACTCAGCGGACTCTCCTCTTTATCAGGTCAGTACAAAGGGGAGCATCTGGCCGACGAATCGGACGGCGAGGTGTCATGTGACTCCGTGGAGCGGTCTGGTGAGAGGCCTATGCTCCGGCACGTGTTTGACATCTGAACTCACTCCTTGCACACAATTGCACAATTTCTATATTTGTCTGTCTGTCTACTCATACAGAGGCTCCTCAACTTACCAACTTTCAGACATACGAACGAAGAGGACTGTAAGTCCAAATTGTGTTCCTTGGGCTCCCGTTTCCTGTCCGCAACATCAGTTTTTTTTCTGTGCGCCAATTCCGCCTAGTATGACTTCTGGCCGCTACTCCCGCCACGCAGCAGCGTAGCGTGCGTACTCCCAGCATCCTAGTTCTTTGTACTTGCGTATACCCTTAAAACGATGTTGAATAACGACTTACGAACATTTCAAGTTACGAACGGCCGTTCGGAACGTAACTCATTCGTAATTAGAGGAGCGTCTGTATTCTTGTAGTAATTTTTAAAGCATGACGGCAAAAATGCTAGACGTTTCCTAGGCGTTGGCCACTCCACTGGTGTATGTTCATGGACATGGGAAGGAAAACGAACCGCGTAGAGGAATCTCATGTGGACACAGGGAAAACATGAAAACTTCAGACCCCCAGCTGGGGGTAGAAATCAAACCGATCACTCTTGGGGGTGTGAGGCTACTGTGCTAATTACCAGTGTTGTGTCTGAGGACATACTCACACTTGGCCCGGTTGCCTTATACCGTGCCCGAGCACAATTGATGCCTCTTCCCACCCCCCAGCCCCCCCTGCTGGTCTGCGCTCACATTGCACTTAACGATCCTGGCCTGAGCACACTTTTGTCATCACCAAGCATCTTCTCGTGTTGAAGAAAACTTAGGAAGGAAAGCGCTATTGCACTACAGAATGTAATTCATTATTATTGTACTAATTTTTGACATCGTTTTGGGCACGATGACACACACACACAGATTTATCAAGTATGCAACACAGCTCAGAATATCACAAGTTCAGGTCCAGAGACTACAAATCCAGACCAAAGTTTTGTTTTAACCAACCAGTTGAGTACTCTTTAACTGACTCTTTATACTCAATTGGTTGGTTAAAACAAAACTTTGGTCTGGATTTTTACTTTCTGGACCTGAACTTCCCAACTCTGTCTGTAATGGATTACATTTGTGAGTGTAACTTCCCCAATACTGCTGCCGGTTTGATTCCCGCTAATGGCACATGAATCTCAGCACCATTAGGTCCTTGAGTAAGATCTTTAAACATAACTACTCCAGGGGTGCTGACCACTGACTGACCCTGTGATCTGATCCTAAATCTCTGATCACTCTCACCTATATTTCTCTGGAGACCAAGATGAGCAGAAAACATAATTTCTGACACAGAGATTTATAAAGTACAACAATAATTATCATTATAAGACCATGGCTAGGTAACTGGATACTTATCGGTATAGATTACCATGTAAAACAACTTTTGGCTGGACACCTGACCAGTCATCGCCTCTCTACAAATGGAGATCACTAGGATTACGTGCCTGTCTAGAGGTTTCCTTTCTAGATGTTGATCGAAATCCTAAGTCGTGCCAACCGCCCCGGTAATAGCTTCTACCCGTGGGCAGTCAGAACTCTCAATGCATCAGAACTCTTAATGCACCAGATCACTAACATTACTCCTTCAATCCTCCCCTCACTGCTATCTTTTTAAGCTTATGGTGTCCATAAGTATGTATGTGTGTATGGGTGTGGGTGTGTGCGTGTGCACGTGTTTGTGCAGTTTTCGTCCATACGCCATACTCACTGCTGCTACTGACTATGGCTCTGTGCAATATCTTGGCAAATGTGCAATTACCAACCTTCCCAATAGTGTCACTTATCTATGACAAAAGCCCTTCCCCCTTATTTATTATATTTATGACACCCTTGCATATACCCCCCAATGTCTCTTGTACCTATACATTGTATATACTGTACTGTGTTTCTTATTCTTATATCTTGTACTAACACTTTCTTGCATCTTTGTGGTCTTGCTAGCTAATTCCGTTGTCCAGGCAACTGTACAATGTCAATAAAAAAGTCTTGAAGTCTTGAAGTAATCGACATTTTGCAGTATTTGCATTTCACAGTGCTTCTTTTTACTGGGTGTTTCGTACAGAAACTCCTTCTGGTTTATGTATGTGAGTCGGGTGGTTGCTGACTCAGCAGACATGATGAGGACGTGAGACAACTGCGCAGACGCGTGCATGATGTTGAAGAACAATGAAGCTCATATAAAAAAAAAACTGCATGCCGGCTGCAGACATATGCTATGGACTCAGACAGAGTCAAGATCAAGTAAGAATTCTCCTGAGGGCATAATAAAACCGAGTCCATTCTTATGCGCACTTGAGACCAGACTTGAATAGCAGAGCTCTGCTGTTTCCTGAGCCAGCAGGCTACACTCATGCCGTTGATCGGTTCCTTATTCCCGTTCACCATATGACTGATTTCTGTGTTCCCTTTCCCCCAGTAAACGCCCCAAGGCTCTCATGTCTGACCTTTCGCTTTGTTGCGTTTCTCGCCTTACTGCGCTTGTAACAGCTGACGTTTGCTTACATTCCCGCTCGCTGCTTTTCTTTACGCTCATCTTCCATTTCTGGGTGAAGTCCACTTTGCTCTTCCAGCATAAGTGCTGCGATGCGATTGTCGTGAATTGTTCCGGAGGATTAAATCCAATGTCAAATGAAAGGGCAATCTGCTCCAAAAATGATTAAATAGTTTTGTTCATCAACAGAGGATTTTCTGTGTGACAGAAGGAAGCAGTGTGACACACGGCTCTGAAAAATGCAATATAAAATGAAAATTTGACTTCTCATTTGCACTGAAGTGCTGAGGCAGCAGAAATGATAAATCCTGTAAATATCAGCTCTCCCTTGTTGTGTTTTTGTTGGATTTTATCTTGTCAATAAAAGTATCTGACCATGGAACGCTAAATAAATTTAACTGGCACCTCAATGGGGTGATTCACTACCTGAATAATTTATCAAAGACATTTAACGATGGGATTGATCGTAAAATCCCACATCCTTCAGAATTAGGACCAGTCTGGCAGTGATTGGCGGGTAAATCTTATCTTCCTCAGTTTGGTGATTTGAAGCAGCATATAAATCCCGCTACACTGAGCTTGCCTTACACTGCTAGCGTACGGAGATTCCTCAGCCACAGACAGAAGGCTGCCGATCAGGCTCCCAAAATGCATCTGTACGTATACACATAGCGATTTGACTTTCTCCATCCCCCGGGTTCCAAAGAGCTCCCTAACCAACCCCTTCAGTGGACCATGGACACCAAACCTCAGGTGTCCGCAACAGAGATGAACATGCTGGAAGACGAGGCTGGACAAGAGGATGTTCAGGGACTCAAAGGGGTCCAACTTAAAGGTGAAAATCTGTACCCAGCTAGCAATGGCACAAGGAATGAAAGGAGTACATACACATATACATACGTATATAACATTAATACATATATTAAGCAAATGATGTCCAGAACTTAAAGTGTGTGTTTGTCATGTTATTTACATTCATTCATTTTTTTTATCATATATAATTTATGACTTATCATTTGTTATAATTTTTTTATGAAACTGCATACAAATAATATGATGATGAAAGCACACTTTAAATACAGGACATCATTTCCTTAATATATGTATTAATGTCATAAAGCCCCCCCCATCCCCCTCCCCTTGTACTATAGTCTTCATCCTTGTGGCATCCCAGCCTAAGCATATGCCGCACCTTCACCCTGTTTAAGGCTCCAGGTTGTTCAGCTTGGGCTCGCTGAGTCACTGGGACACGGGGGATGATTGTGAGCACTGCGGAAAGGACGGCAGGACCAGGTGCTGTTTGGACAGGCGGGTGGGCGCAGCACTCATTCGGCTACAGGAGGATGTGAGGTCTGCAGTGCAGAGGCTCCACGCCCTGGATGCTCTGACAGTGCCGCGGGTGAGTGGCGGGACCTACAGGAGGACGGGAGGTCTGCAGTGCAGAGGCTCCACGCCCTCGATGCTCTGACAGTGCCGCGGGTGAGTGGCGGGACCTACAGGAGGACGGGAGGTCTGCAGTGCAGAGGCTCCA